TGTATATCATACAGTACAGTCGAGATGATATAAGCAACACTTTTTAAAAAACCAAGACACACTGATTTGTTTTTCATTTTCGTTAAATAATGACAGCTTAATAACCAAGTCTGTAGGTCTTGCTATTTGACAAGGCAGTTGTTCATGTCAATTTTTAATTTTGTTAACACTGCTGAATTTGACCTCTGTTCAAGGTCACACAAATGGAATTTGTTAAAATAAAGACATTTTTGTTTAAGTTTCACAATTTGAAGATTTAGTAAGCAGCTTTATACAAATATTTTGATGAAGGTCAATAAAGTGACCTTATTAGATATATTATGTACAATAATAGTAACTGGTTTTGCCTTTGTCAGTTCCTATCCATGATCTGTGGCACTTTAAGAAGCTAATAAGAGATAGAACAGTTGCAGTTTGCAGAACATTACATTGCGTTTTAGTACAGCAGAACTGCTCGAGTGATTGCTTGTTTGAACATGAGTGTTGCATGGACTGGGTTAGTTTTATCTTGATGCTGAACGTGGCCCAAAAAACATAAAATGCACGCAACATGTGCACACATTCCAACGGTTCGTTTGCCCGCTGGACAGACACAGTAAGAAATCTTTGACAGGATCATCTTGATCATTTCTGTCAAACGCAATCCAAACATTGTATTTTGACTGTGATTTGTGCCATGAATAGATTTAGCCTCGGAGAAGATTTTCATCATGTTGATAGACCCAAACTTCAAAGTCTCCAGCTGGAGTCAGATGCTCAGCAATATATCTGGTTGCTACTTTCAACTGGTATGATTCGCAGGTTACTGTTTCTAAATATTCCATATCCAGTACTGGAAACACTATTGAACAGGCATCAAGTTTCACCTAGTTTGCCTTGTTGCGCCTAGAAAGGTCAGGTTCATCTACAACCCTTAAATCCATAGCGTTGAGACCATGAAAATATTGGTCTTCAGTTTAGCCCAGAACCAAAGCATGAAATGTAAAGGAACATGATCCTCTGTTGATGTGTGAGGAGCAGATGCTATGGATTTGCTCCATTTGTTCAAGTGTGCTTTGAATTCTTCATTTCTGAGATGGTTGTAGGTTATTTTCATGTATTTATATGTGGCGAAAAAATAAAAGAAATCTATGTGGGGCCAAATGTTGACCCCATCTTTAGAAATGACTTATAGATAAGTGTGGGATTGGTTTATATGTTTTTTTCCCTAAATATGTAAAAGTACAACTAAGGATATATCCTAATTGAGTCATTAATGTATAGGTTGAACACTTGCAGATCAATCAGATACAGACTGGATGGTTCGATGCACTCGTAATTTACATTGTTTTGTTTACAAAGTGCCACACTGATCAGCCTTACTGTACGGAGACTCATTATATATACATTATATATTCAAACATAAAAATTATCAGCTTACTCAAAAAATATACGCCTATAGAGTAAACAGTCATCTGCAATTAGCCGAACTAAAGATTCAATCGTTGATATAATTTAGGAATAGTAATGACTCAAGACTCCAAAGTCGACGGTGTTTCCTTTCCAAGACGATGGGTATTTTTCTATTTGTCAGGAATGTGGTCAGTCAGAAATATATTGTTTTCTTGAGCTTTTATTCTCCTATCCTTGTTTTAGATTTATGATTTGCCTCACCTGATCTGCCGAAACTTTTACGTTACATACTTATAAACGGAATTAAAATGATACATATAATAAATAAGAGTATCGTTGTGAGGCACGATATAGCAACATTTGCTTACAAATAACATTTTGTTTTGAAAGATAACAGCAAGAAATACATCGTTTGATAGCGTAAATACGATGTAAACACACCTGGCTGACCGGGGAATGTCCCTCTATGACGTCACACTGTAAATCTTGATATTCGTCGTCATTTTTCCTTTCATAAAGGCGACTTTTTGTTGCCGCGTACTGGAAAACGCCTTACTCTATTCGTATGGTTTCAGATGTCACTTTTTTGGCTCACATAGATTTAAACGCTCCTTGTTAAGATGCTTAGGCTGACCATTTATTAAACTAATGAGAGTTCGATATTGATTTCTTTGTATCTGTGTTATAATTACTCAGACATGTACTAAGTATTAGATACAATATGATTCAAATATGAATTCAGAATGTGTTTTCTATATCATTCCTGTCATTTGAATACACCAGCGCCACCTGGAAAGAGGTAAGCCGATAATGGACGACAAAAAATCGTCTAGCCAGTTTTTAGTTGAAACAATTTTATTTTTATTTTAACAATATGAAACGAAACCTTACCTAAGGTTACCTTAAATTATCCATAATTTGTCAACGTAAAAGGAGCGAAATCACCTTGCCGCTAATCTTAAGCGCTCGCCATCGATTCATGAGCGATGACTCCGCGACATCGCCCTGGTAAAAAGATTGTCCATTATCGCCATCGATCGTCATCACTGCGGGAGCGATCTCCTCACGACATCGCCAAGGTAAAAAGATTGTCTATAATCATCATTGCTCGTCATCACTGCGGGAGCGATCTCCTCACGACATCGCCAAGGTAAAAAGATTGTCTATAATCATCATTGCTCGTCATCACTGTGGGAGCGATCTCCTCACGACATCGCCAAGGTAAAAAGATTGTCTATTATCGCCATCGATCGTCATCACTGCGGGAGCGATCTCCTCACGACATCGCCAAGGTAAAAAGATTGTCTATTATCGCCATCGATCGACATCACTGCGGGAGCGATCTCCTCACGACATCGCCAAGGTAAAAAGATTGTCTATAATCATCATTGCTCGTCATCACTGTGGGAGCGATCTCCTCACGACATCGCCAAGGTAAAAAGATTGTCTATTATCGCCATCGATCGACATCACTGCGGGAGCGATCTCCTCACGACATCGCCAAGGTAAAAAGATTGTCTATAATCATCATTGCTCGTCATCACTGCGGGAGCGATCTCCTCACGACATCGCCAAGGTAAAAAGATTGTCTATTATCGCCATCGATCGTCATCACTGCGGGAGCGATCTCCTCACGACATCGCCAAGGTAAAAAGATTGTCTATAATCATCATTGCTCGTCATCACTGCGGGAGCGATCTCCTCACGACATCGCCAAGGTAAAAAGATTGTCTATTATCGCCATCGATCGACATCACTGCGGGAGCGATCTCCTCACGACATCGCCAAGGTAAAAAGATTGTCTATAATCATCATTGCTCGTCATCACTGTGGGAGCGATCTCCTCACGACATCGCCAAGGTAAAAAGATTGTCTATTATCGCCATCGATCGACATCACTGCGGGAGCGATCTCCTCACGACATCGCCAAGGTAAAAAGATTGTCTATTATCGCCATCGATCGACATCACTGCGGGAGCGATCTCCTCACGACATCGCCAAGGTAAAAAGATTGTCTATTATCGCCATCGATCGACATCACTGCGGGAGCGATCTCCTCACGACATCGCCAAGGTAAAAAGATTGTCTATAATTATCATTGCTCGTCATCACTGCGGGAGCGATCTCCTCACGACATCGCCAAGGTAAAAAGATTGTCTATTATCGCCATCGATCGACATCACTGCGGGAGCGATCTCCTCACGACATCGCCAAGGTAAAAAGATTGTCTATAATCATCATTGCTCGTCATCACTGTGGGAGCGATCTCCTCACGACATCGCCAAGGTAAAAAGATTGTCTATTATCGCCATCGATCGACATCACTGCGGGAGCGATCTCCTCACGACATCGCCAAAGTAAAAAGATTGTCTATTATCGCCATCGATCGACATCACTGCGGGAGCGATCTCCTCACGACATCGCCAAGGTAAAAAGATTGTCTATTATCGCCATCGATCGACATCACTGCGGGAGCGATCTCCTCACGACATCGCCAAGGTAAAAAGATTGTCTATTATCGCCATCGATCGACATCACTGCGGGAGCGATCTCCTCACGACATCGCCAAGGTAAAAAGATTGTCTATAATCATCATTGCTCGTCATCACTGCGGGAGCGATCTCCTCACGACATCGCAAAGGTAAAAAGATTGTCTATTATCGCCATCGATCGACATCACTGCGGGAGCGATCTCCTCACGACATCGCCAAGGTAAAAAGATTGTCTATTATCGCCATCGATCGACATCACTGCGGGAGCGATCTCCGCACGACATCGCCCTGGTAAAGAAAAGGCTGTCTATAATTTTCATCACCCGTCATCACTACGGGAGTAATCTCCCCACGCACGACATCGCCCTAGTAAAAAGAAGGATGTCTATATCTCCCCACGACATCGTCCAGGTAAAAAAGAAGGATGTCTATGATCTCCATCACCCGTCATCACTACGGGATGATAACCGTACATCGCGTATATCTTATTATTCAAATCTACCCCTACTATACATTAACTAGACCAACACACGGAGAGAAGGTACTAGATCCCTCTTTGGGAATTGATCCGCGGCAAACGAAACATTAAGGTTAACCATTGAAAATTGGTATTATTTGGGTAGTGTCACGTTAGAATAAGTGCGATGGATATCAGTATATACTGGTCAGATAGTATATAATAGAGACACAACTTTGATTTGTAGAATGGTCAATGGGAGATAATCTAATATTATTGAAGGTTCCGGAAATTGTCCGTTTTATGATATTATTCTGCACCTTAGATTGTGATATCAGGAATGTACCCGGCTTCGTTTAGTACAATTTGGATAGTGAATAAAACAATAATGGAAAGAAGAAATGACCATCTTAGAGAAAAGTTGCTGGACTTGCTGATCATGAACATAGGCCCCAGTACTATCTGCTACTGGATTACCGGAAATGGGCGAAGCTATCCATGATAGTCAGTGACCCGCGGGTGGAGCTTAAACATAATTACAAATAACATTTACACAGTGTACTAATGTAATGTTATCACATTTTTGTGGAGATCTCTTATCGTGCACCATATTCCGGAACTGTTTGACCGGTTCCGGTTCTTCCAGGCGTTTGTGAGTTCTTACTTTCGGTTTTTAACCATACTGGATTTTCCCCTTCGCTCCGAAGGATGATTCAAACTTTGTTATTACCTCACTGCACCTGGTGTAAGTTAATTAACTTGTATAGCTGATGACTAATACGTTAACAATGTTTTCGCTGTCTAGTTTAACGAATTTCTTGACATTTTGTGGAAATTTCCTGGACAGATGTATTTTTCAAGCGGCGATAGGACAACTCGCCCCAAATGTTTGTTTACATGTGTTTCGCCGATAGTACATGTACATCGATTCGTATCATAATTCAAGTTTGAAATTACATTCATTCGTCTCAGGAGATATTCAATTTCTATAAAAGACACATTGGTATACAATATACTACATATAATGTGATGAATTCTCGAAAATGTAGATCTATAGGACTGTGCTTATTATGTACAAGTAAGAACTAGTACCATTTGTAAGGATAGTTTTTATTATTATTTTTGCAGTATTTTACCGCCAGACACTTCTTTATCATGAAACGTTGAAGTGGTTCGATATTCTGACATTGCTTGGAATAAACTGTTTTATGTTATTTCGGTGAAGTTGTGTTATGGTAAAACTGATGCACAGAGGCATTACATACTATCACACATAATTCAATGATTGTATTTCTCTGAGATAAACATTAGGATATAACCTAAAAAAGCATTACTAATTATTTTATTTAAGAAAATATGCTTGTGCATAAACATAATAGGAAATGTAGTTGAACAAAATAGCAAAGAAGATCTTGCGGAATTCTATCTGACTATTGCAAATCGTATACACGTTATGCGAACTATTATATGGTCACACATGACTTCCATACTTTTTCAAACACAGTACACATTATAAACAATGATACTCATGACTGAAGCGCACGGTCGCCTAATTCTTTACCTACGATATCAATTAAGAAATGGGCATGCAAAATATAAAATAGACATAGAAAAGTTAAGAATACTCACCACAGTCTGTAATCTGTGTCTGAATAATCATACCTTCTTCATTGAAAAAAATTACATAGTGGAATTCTTCAATAACACACAGGGACGAAATTCCAAGCGTCAGGCCTGAATTCACTCAACTGGTCACTCTCCGCCTGCAGAAGGTCAAGAGTGACGTAACATCGCCATACGAAGGCAACACTTTATACATTTTCCTCTGCTTTTGATTACATTTACATACGTGTATTAATTGCAATCACATCAACTATATAATGAAAGTAAATCATTGATGTCTCTGTTCTTCATTTTCCAATCCAATATCCATGTATCTTCAAATTACAGCGTCCATATGTCGGAGTTGATTTAATTCGTGAAGAACAGGATTTCGAGAGATACAGACTCGTGAAAAGGAATCTTACAGGTGACATCATAATTTCATTCGGAAATGATTCTATTTGCTGTGCGATATGAACCTTTCTTTGGTGATAACACTGCGCTCATCTCGGAACGTAATAATACTAACTGGAATTGACGAAGATTTAGATAGAGAGTGTAGTCGATGAAGAAGATGTTTTGTCCCTCGTATCTCCTTGCCTTTATCTCTTTCTGCTTTTGAACTGAATTAGGAATTTCGGTATTTCTTTATTGTGTTGAGCTCATTAAATTAAATGGTTCACTTTAACATTGAAAAGTGCGACCCATTATAACATGTTTATAAACAAATCTTTAGGATAATTCATTTAGCATTGTGAAACAATACTCGTTTGATATAATTGTAATAGAATGAACGTCCATTTGTATGTGATAAGTTATTTCTTTTCTGTTTAACTTTCAGAAATATTTCTTGGCAGGATAAGGTTGGTAATTTTTAATAAATTCAACTACTTCTTACATTTTTGATATTTTAACGCAAAGAATAAGTGACACAAATAATTTTTACCAGCACCAAGCTTAATACATGCTATTGTTAATATGATGTTTAATTTTAATTCATGCCTTTCGATTCTTGTTGGGGAACCTGAAGTTGGTTCCTATGACCGTTTAAGAAAAACCAAAAGGGAAGACCACTTCCTTTATAAAAGCTACGGTAATTAAAATTTTTGTCTGGTTCCCATTTCCATTTAAGCTGAAACGGAGCTTGGAACCTAGGAACCAACTTCAAGATCCCATTCTTATTTGGCATCAGTTTTCAATGTTCACATTTTCAAACAGTAATGATCTATAGTGATCAAACTGCTTTTATTGCCATCAACTAATAGGTTCTTATATTAAATCTGCTAAGAATAGATATTTCTTCTTCAAATGCAACAGAAGCTATGAATGACAAAGAGGGTATTGAAGACCTCAAAGACCTCACCAGAAAGAAAGTGGAAGGTAGAGTTCTTACAAATGATGACATAAAACGTTTTGTAACAGCAGTCTCTACCGGTCGAGTAGACGAAAAACAAATAGGTAAGTATTTTTAAGATGGTCTTCAGGTTATTTTGTACTAGAAATTCAAGTAAAACAAACGTTGACATCCCCCATCCTCATACTACTGAATATTTGTCATCACCGGTATTTCTCTCATTTCTGAGCTTCTACTCTTTCGTCTTTTATGCCAATGACGTTGTGTCGAATAATAAAGCAATACATTTTCAAACAAAGAATTTAGATGTTTTAGAAAGTATTTGCTCTCAGTGGAAAGAAGACAACACCTTATATTCCGTTATCAGTGTTATATCAAACGTTTCATGTTAACACAACTCACTGCTGTATACCCCAAATCTAGAAAAAAATCTGTCTAGAGTAGGTCAGTGCGGATTGAAATGGAATTTGATACATTAATATAATCTGAGATAAGAATATTCAGGTTTGGGAAATATGGAGCTCAGTCTACCATAGCCATGGACTTTTTATTCTCTTCTTTGGTATATTTCCTTTTCATTACAATTAAACAGAGATAATAATGGTTCACTTTAATATAGTCAAGAGGCTGCTTTTTCTCTCTTATGGGCTATTTTAAAGCAAATCTGCTCTCACCACCTGTCACTGTTTATTTCACTGTGTCGTGTCCTGTAGGAGTAATTAGGGAACGAAATGGTATAGTGTTTCAATCCTCCTATTTCCTCCTATCGGTCTACATGTTGCCGTCATATCGACATGAAATTTTAAAGCTGTATTAAATTCAGTTCATGGATATAGTATAACATATTTAGCAGAAGGCATACACACATCAGCTTTATCAGGATGCTTGATAGGAATGTCTTGATAAATATTAATATATTTTCTATTCTAGGAGAATTGTTGAGGGCTATCAAATCGAATGACCTGAATTTAGAAGAAACGGAGTTCTTAACAAAATGTATGAAATCTGATGACGTTATAACTTGGCCCGAAAGTAGTAAAGAAATGATTGTTGACAAACACAGTACCGGGGGCGTCGGTGACAAAACCAGTCTGGTTCTTGTGCCAATTCTCGCCTGCTGTGGCTTGAAGGTATATCAGATTATATAGTTTTAGTTAATACTAATCTAGAGTTGATGGTTACTACGACTCTGCAGGAAAACAGAGTGAACTAGGATGAAATAACCAAATGTATTGGTGCCGCAACTCTTTGTTGTTGAAGACACTACACATTATTAACATAATCTGAACAGTTTATGCTAACAGTTGAAGTGGATATGATTACGTCCTGGATTTACAAATATTACAAATCAACAGTTGCTAATTTGAACAAGGTTCAGTATATGACATAACAAATTTAGGATCTTTCATTTCAGTTGGTGAGAATTCCATCTGTTCAATAAAAGCATTGGTTTACTCACTCACTTTCAATCTTCATTATCATTTGCGACTAGGAAACAATACTTAAGAGTTTCATAAATTACATATGAAACAAAAAACGGGTTTATTTCGGAACATGTTCTTCAGATTGGTAAATTCATTAAAACAGGTCCTTCACACAACCAAGAGGAGATTTGAGTGTGACGTTTCGATGACGACTCATTAGTCAGAAAAAGGACCAGTGTGGAATGTACTTGCATTGACGTTTGTAGTGTACAAGATGATAAGGAATCAACCAAATGTTTCGGCTGTACTATGATTCTATGTAAGGAAGGAAATAGAGACGGTAAACACACTACAAACCAAAAATACTCAAGATGGTAACAATGTACTGTGGTTTAACCGGATACGCTTCGTTAAACACTTGGTCATATATGTGCGAGAGTCTGTTGTCTAACCTTCTCACAATCCTTTCAGACATCTGGATACTTCGCAGCGAGTCAGTGCTAAACAGAGACGAGGGGGCCACAAGCTCTCGGACATCTATGACCGAATGTTAATTCTGTTACCATCTCGTCATACTTTTTTCGACCTTTACATAAGATTATAGTATAGCCGAAAAGGATTCCCTACCTTCTCGTACACTACGTACGTCAGTTCCTTTTCATCACATGAACCATTTAGGTTTTGAAATATCACAAGAAATTTGATTGTGCATACCAGACCTTACGATAATTCCAATCTCTATTGGTGGCATCCATTATGACAACATGGTCTTTTCTGCGAGTGGATGACGTCATTTCATTATCTTCGTTTGACGTCATAATAAGTCATGTACTGCTAGTGTAAAACACAAGAACATTACAGGAACATATTCACTGAATAAAACGGAAATCGTTTAATGAACCTTTCTAAATCACAACGTTACGTTAATCAACTGTATGTTCCTTGTCCTTTACATTTGAAGAACGTAAAATGAGGATGGACATCACATGCATTTTGTGTATAATATTCCATTTGTCTCTCATTCTGTCAGATCCCTATGGTATCTGGTAGAGGGCTAGAACACACTGGAGGTACTCTGGATAAATTGGAGTCCATTCCTGGTGTCAATGTGGACTTCCCTCCCGAAAAAATTGAACCGATGGTAGACAAAATCGGATGCTGCATCGTTGGACAAACAAAAAATTTTGTTGCCGCCGATAAAGAGTTATACAGATTGCGTGACCTCACCGGTACCGTAGATAGCAATGGTCTTATTGCATGTAGGTTTAGATCAATAATATAAATCATCTTTTTTTCTTACATGTAAATCACAGTTTTTGTGATTGTGAAATAATTTTTCACTGAATGGTGGATTTTTCTTTTAAACACCGATTTTTCTATATAGTACATATACAGATGAATTGATGATAATAATTCGATTCTTCTCTTGTGTGATCCAAGAAAAAGCAACAACAAAAAACATGTTTTGTATTGATTTGAATTTCTAATAGAAGTCTGTAATAAATGATCTATTGAAAGAGTTCAGTAAAAACTGTTGATTAACAAGGAAACCTTTGCTGGTTTTTGTTACTATATAGGTATTAACTTAATAATTGTGTGTGTGTCGTATGCATCAACAAAAAAGATGTAAACATTGATGTTTAAAATACAGTTCTTTGTGTTTGTGTAATGTGGTTCCATATAACTCGACATTGACCTTATGTACAAATGAATCTGTAGCAAAAAATATTGTCAAACTTAAGCGCGAACGTCATTTACCAGTCTTCAGTTTTTCTTTATATTCCTTCACAAATGTAGGTCACCGGGGGTATATTCTTTGCACTGTCAGTAACAGACATTTAACCAGTTTCATCAAAGAAAATAACGCAGTCAATGTGTCGTTTAGTTTTCCAATGAGTTGTTATACTACCAAAGTGGCATCCTCTCATACCGATGTTAGTCATATTTTGTAAACATTACTAAATTACACCTTAGTTTCATATCCATCTTTTCTTTTAGAATCATACAAAAGTGAATACAAAGATGGAATTAGATACAGTAGAGCTAAATGATGAATTGAACTGCCTCATACACCTGTATCGGAAAAACAAAATCAATAATAAGAAATGACAAAATCTAGATAAGGAGGCGTAAAAATACCATAGTTTAATAAATTTCGTAGTTTCTATATATCTGATTATTTACAAAACGTGCATGTAAATATAATATCTATTCCACTATTCGAATTAATTAAAATGTGACAATTTATTTTCGTTAGAGTTACTTAGTGCTTACTAACAATTAAAAAAAAATGGTTTGCATTATTTATTGTTAATAAATCGTTCTTTTCTACCGTTACTAATAACGGGTTAATACTTTATTACAGCTTCTATTTTGTGTAAGAAGGCAGCAGCAGGCATCAAAACCTTACTTCTGGACGTGAAATGCGGCAAGGCAGCGTTTAAGAAAACTCAGAGCGATGCTGAAGAGCTGGCCAATTTGATGGTATGTCTTGTAAAAAGATTAATGGTATACTCAGTAATTATGTTTGTATGATATTTTACTTGTATTCTATTAAAGATATTTAAGAGTCATACAGTTAAACAGAACGTTCAAGACAAATTTTATAGATAATGACCAGTATACCCCTAATCGGCCTGCTTGTACTCATCATTTACAAGCGTTAAAGCGTGACAGGCATCCCAAATAATACTTTTGGAAACGACTAAGTTAGCAACTTTAAGGCAACATACTCCTGAAGTGCAAAAGTAACAATATTCAAGTGAGTTCCGTCCGTCAGGATGCTGCTTTCCACATGATATCTTTTGAAGGACTGGTAGAAGTTTTATGAAATTTGGTTGGTACAACTGCTACCTTTATTCCTTGCCTAGGATAACGGCGAACACCGCGCATGTTTAATGAAGCTGTGATTGGCTAATCACTCTATGTGAAATCGTTGTGTACATTATCTTATGAAGTAATGATAAGTTTTTTCTGGTAAAATTGCTTTGTAGACTTATTACCTTTATTCCTTGTTCAAGTTTTATAATTGACAAATTCTGCACACATTTAATGAGGCTGCTGTGACCATCGGGTGATATCTTATCCATTTTTATATGTTATGTTTTACATTTTACAATGACTTTTAGTTGTATTTTGTTTCTCGTTTCATAGATTTTATGTTTGAATGAATATTTTGATTAAATGTTGGTGTTTCCCATGTTTTTGTGACATTTGGTAAGTATTATTTTTTGCACAAAGCCATCATGGTGTCATTAGTATTGAAAATAATTTATGTTCAGACAATGGCAGATATGTCTTTATCACTCAGTTTGTAGATGCGAAGAATGTTGGGAATTATTCACTGTCACGTAATGTATAAAACGCAAAAGGTTTTAATGGTGTATCAGCTAAGATTTTAAAAGCTGACACAGAAGCTTGTTAAACACTGTGGTACTTTTCTTTCTTTTAATAATTAAAAACATATTATTGTGAAAATATTTAGAAATAACTTTTATTTAATATTATGTTTTATTTTAATAAATAATTGAAAATGAATTTTAATTTCCAGAGTTAAAGTTGTCATTCATTGGAGTCACATATCGCGGACGACTCGTTGAATGTCTGCTTGTCATCAACAGTGATGTTATACTCAAACAAATGTTATAGCCTATGTTTTCTTAATAAGATATGCTCAATGTATTTCCGTGTTTTGATACAACTCTGATGACAATTTCCTGTCATCTGGAACAGGGACATATAACACGTTCCCAAATGGAACTATTCTATTGTAAAGGTTAAGAGACTCTGTTAAATTCATACCTGCGCACTTGATACTCGTATGTTTGAAAGCAATAAGATACTGTCATTTAAAACTGAAAACATGTATTTTTCTCTCAATTCACTGTCAGATACATTTCTGATATCATAGAAACCTGTGCCGTGTTTTCCTACATATACATATTGAATATGCAGAAGTATTACGGGATGATGATCTCATTGTTATCAATAAAAAAGGACTTCGCATTTCTATAACTCAAATGTATAACAAGTGTTAAATTCAAAACACGTTGGTCACCATCAATGTTCAACGTCGTAGCAAATACCAATATGGTATTATAACCTTTCTCTCCGTATCGAAATAAAACTTGTCATGTAAAGATATTTAGTAATTCAGAATAAATTGTCAAGAACGAAGCAAAACTTTCTGTTTATGTTTTCTAAGCAATTCTTCGTTTTCACCTATATAGAGGTCCTGTTAACTCTGACATGAGTTCTATATGTGAATGCTTCGGGTGATGATATGGCACAGGTTGCTACGACTACACAGAGTGTCCTTCACGTATTCACAAACCAGGAATATTGAGAGAAAATCTCTATATATGAGAGATTGTTTCGAAGGATACCTATATACTGGTTCAATTTGAATGGTTTGAAGGCCAATCCAGACACATTCCACGCAACCTGTTTTGGTAAAAAGATCAGCAATTCTATTAGGTACTTTGATATTGAGGACTAAGGGAAAATGTGTGAAGACTTTGTTATTGTATGGTTCCTATATAGATTTTCTTCTTAAATTCGATATTTATATCTCATGTCTTTGCAGAAATGCTTTTGGGCTACTCGCTGTTTAAATTTGCAAAATGAAAGGAAAAGTTAATTATTTCTGTCTTTTATTCTAATTTTAACTATCGTCCACTTGTCTGGCATTTTCTTTCTGACAAATACTTACAAAATGAAAAGGAAATGATTATGTTTTCTTGTCTCTGATGTTTTAAGAAGAGATAAACTTGATTGTTTTTACATGAAACACGTATTAAGTCTTTGGAGTTTGGATTTTTAAGATTTTAAATTGAACATCATAATCCATTGTACAAAATCTTTTTGAAAGGAAGGAGTTTATTTCATTATATTAGACAAGATAGCCTGATGAAGAAATAAAGGTGAACACCTCCACTAATGGGCAGAGAATATTTCGTTTTATGGCAGCCCAGATGTTGAATGAATGAGCTGAAAAGTCTTTTTGTCGGATATCCCAATCTGCCCTTGTGTTTACTGGACGCACCCTATGAGTGGCCTCCTTTGAAATCGAACTCGCCGATTAGTGCAGTAAATGTTTGTGTTGTTTAAAACCAGTTACTTTGTGCTGAGAATTCTAGCTTATATTAATTTCTTATCTCGTTGTCTTCTGTTACACTACATCAGTGTATTTCCTGTCAATTTCTATGGTTTGCTATATCAACATATACGTACATTACACCATGAAAATGTTTCACCCTTTTTCTTGTAACGTTTGTGTCGTATATAAGCCTTCATTTTCAAATTAATGTTTTAGTGTTTCATTCAAGCAGCTGTGATTTCATGATTATGTATGTGTTCTGTTGTAATTACATGTACTGATTTTTTTTCTGAAGACTATCACTGTAGCGTAAACATTTAAACAAAATATTCATTCAAACACAAAATATATCATATAAATAAAATAGGAACAATGTATTAATACACCAGCGCATATATATATATATTCTGTTACCTTGATAGGTTGAAATCGCTAATAGGCTCGGCGTCCGGACCACGGCACTTATTACCCAAATGGATCGCCCAATCGGACTAGCGATCGGAAACGCTTTAGAGATTGTGGAAACCCTTAGATGCCTGCGTTGGCGATGCCCTGAGTGTGGGGAATCAAAAAAATGTACACAGTGCAGAGGGTGCCAGGATATCTTAGGTCTTGTGTATGAAATAGGTTGGTTTTGGTTTTGTCATGACACTGATGTGATGACTTGTTTTTTTTTTTTTTTTTTTTTTTTTAATCGTTGTTGATTTTACCGGAAATGCTGGTCTTGAAACAAATAGTCCTTGTAACATCAACCGTTACATATGACTTCCGATATCGATTTACAAACTGTTAAAATGGGACCGATATGAAATGCAAAAAAAATCGAACAATATTTAAATTTTACCACGTAGTTGTCATTTTGTCCACTAAGAAAAGCAACATTATCATTGTGTTTGTCGTGACTAAAGCTGACAAAATAAGAATTATCAGCAAGGAAGTAGAATCAGTATGTTACTCACTTTGTTTGGAAGCCGTTATAAAGAGACGTGTAGGTATCAAAGTACTTATCCATCTAATATCGTCTAATGCTGCATAATATGGAAGTGTAGCCTTTTCATGACATTTTTGTCAGCGAAATATATCAATTTTATAAAAACGATTCGTTTTTGTCACTGCATTGAAACTCGCCGATTCAAGAATGAAACGAGTATTGAATATGTTTGTTTCTAATGAAAATTTTTCCTTTTACAGTTTTCTCTAATTTCATATTTAAAAACAGTGTTGTAAGCGAGTTTTACCAGATAGCTGTATAAAATGGTAAAATAACACTCTTATCACCAAATTCAAAATGGCGTCATTATTATTATACGTCAAAGTATTCGACATCATAGAATGTGCTCATAGTTTTCTTAAGTTTCAAATATCGATTTATTTCATTTTGTTTGATCATTTCTATGCATTTTTTCTCTCGTGCTCCGAATTCGTACGTATGACATGTGACAGAAATTAAAAAACGAAATCACAATTGTCTTCCACTTAGAGAAATGAAAAAACCATCTTCCACTAACAGAAAAACAAAAACAACTGTCGTCCACATATGATATTGAACGGGAAACTAGAAAGGATTCTCTATTGATCTATTTCATTTCATGTTAGAAAGTTACATTCACATTCGTATTGTGTAAGAATAATTGTACAGATTTAGATAAGTATGTGTTTGTTTATTGCATATCATAGCATCATAATGCAAGATATGTTATTATCAAATAGGAGAACATTTGCTGTGCAACTCAGGTGTAAACCGGGATGAGGCAAAGTCGATGATGGAAGAGAAAGTAAGGACAGGGAAAGCCTTGAAATGCTTCGAAAAGATCATCATTGCACAGGGCGCCTCGGTGAAAGCGGCTGAAAGTCTATGTGATCCGAATACAGACTTTAGGACTGGACTTCCTACAGCGAAACACATAACATCATTAACACAGGAAGAAAATGGTATCACAGGTTTAAAACATCTTATTGTAGTAGGTGTAAACAATCAGAAAATACCAACATGTGATTATGATCATTTTCAAAACTTAAATTCAATAAAACTGGGGTCAATATGAACAAAGGAAAGACTTACTCGAAGGTTCCTGAAAAAGTACAATGAGAAGAAGGTATCTCGGAAATGTAAGGATCTTCTACTTAAACAGGCAAACTATTAAGCATAAAAAGGTCAAGCTTCATATCGCACAGGTAGGTGCAAACCAAGATGAAGACTAGAAGTAGTTTGCTGTGTCATTTCTAAGTAGAAGACAACCATATACTAATCGAATCTGTAAACATAATTCACAATACTCAGACCATTATCAGTTTATGATGGCTGATGATTTTTACAAGGACAGGGTGAGAAAATCAAAATTCTTTCTTGTCTTCGATCAACCATCGTATACCTTACCAACTGATGATTTTTTTCCAATACTGTAAACTTCATATATCACGTGTCTCACTTAGTGTGATATATGACTATGCAACCTTGGTTGAAGATTCGAGATATGTGGTCCGATGATCCCTATTCGAGTGGGTTGTTTATCAGGAAACTGAAATATCAAATTGTCCTATGTTGCCATGGTATGTCCCTAGGAAAGAAATTGTTTTGGACCTCCCTCATGGTGTTCCGGGAGAAGGTCATTAACTCCGTATGAACACCTGCCTAAAGATCACTATATTTTAGAAAAGTAATTAATAAAAGTTAATACTTTTTCTCGGAATTTTTATATTGGTCATTATAGATTTTCAACGAAAGTTCGTACAATAACCGATGTTAATTTAAGATTAAGGGATTCATGATTACGTTATCAATATCTTGCTTTCTTTAAAACCCGCAGGATATGTTCACGATATTGATGCAATGAAGTGTGGAGAAATCTGCTGGAATCTCGGAGCAGGCAGATCTAAATCCGGCGACAATCTGAAAATGGGAGTAGGTTTAGAGCTTCAGGTCTGCTATGGTGACGAGATCAAAAAAGGTACTGTTGTTATCCGAATCTTATATGATACTGGGATCATGCAACTAGATACATTCATCAATACTGACTTCACGTTTAACTACAAATTCGATAGCAGATAATTATATCATGTATATAGTTAATGAAGAAAATTAATTAGAGGTGTTATTGAAACATATTCTAGTAGAAAGTAGACAGAACAGATATTTTATAGCCTTCGATGTTCTCTTTACATTTAATACATTTAAAGTCATACACAGAGATAAACCTAAAAACTGATATTGATATACATAATAATCCGCTCTTGAAACTAATTCAGATTGCATTCATTTATTATTATAGTTTTTCTATAAAAAAAGTTTAATGGAAATTATAGTTTGAAAACTGGTATTGATATTTATACATTGACTGATTGATTTAAAACTTCATTTGAAAACAAAATGCTAAATAACTTTTCTCACGTTTATTTAACAAATGTGTACTTACAACTTTACAGGTGATGTATGGGTCAAAGTTCATCATGATACCGACGATATTCCGGCGGACGTACAGGAGCTGTTAAAACAGATTTTAGTTGTCAAAGACCAGGAGGTGACCAACACAAACGGATCACGTGTTTTGAAGGTCATCCCCCCCTAAAACTTGAAGTCGACCGACATGCAAAAGGAATTATGTGCTGGTAAAATCAGTGGCCGTTGATAAGATTTACTGTATCTTCTCAGTGGTGTATATGTCAAATAAAAGCAATGTTACAGAAGCTGAAATATTGAAAAGTTTGACCATACCATTATTTCAATTTTCTAGGTCCTCATTCAATAGATATGTTTTTATCATTCCGTCGTTGAAAATCATATACTTGATATATACGTGATATATTTCATCTTGGTCAAATGGGAGATAACTCAAGTACACCAACTACACTCAATCATGTTTAGTCAAACTGATAAATAGTTTATACTCTCCCATATACATAATTAGAGGTTCCACTTATACGGAAAAGGGAAAATAATACACATATTGGAACAGAGTAGCTACATACATCTATGGGTTCTGTTTCAATGATACGGGTAGAAGGAAACAATAACTTCGCATTCTTCCTGAAATTATTGGTCATGCTCGAGATATAGAAGTTTGGTTATGAGAAATACATCCTTACATGTATAAATATTTATAAACTACATAACAATTACATTGATAGTAGAGAGATAAGAATTGTGTAAATCAAAAATTTCCTCTGATTTCTGACATGTGATTGCACGTATGAAAGCCTCGCTCAACTTCAATCCTGTCCATTCTGTGATATTTTCTTCCCATCTCTTCTTCTGTCTTCCTCTCTTTCTTCCTCCTCCGACTGTTCCCTTAACCATTGTCATGGCAAGCCTCTCTCCTCTTGTTACGTGGCCGAACCATTTTAGTTTGCGCCTCTTGGTTGTGGTGAGAAGATCTTCATAGGGACCAATGGCTTGCCTTATTCTGTTTTTAACTTCCTCAATGGTTATGTGGTCTATGTAGGAGATGCCAAGCAGTCTTCTGAAGCATCTCAGGCAAACTATTAGGCATAAAAAGGTCAAGCTTCATATCGCACAGGTAGGTGCAAACCAAGATGAAGACTAGAAGTAGTTTGCTGTGTCATTTCTAAGTAGAAGACAACCATATACTAATCGAATCTGTAAACATAATTCACAATACTCAGACCATTATCAGTTTATGATGGCTGATGATTTTTACAAGGACAGGGTGAGAAAATCAAAATTCTTTCTTGTCTTCGATCAACCATCGTATACCTTACCAACCGATGATTTTTTTCCAATACTGTAAACTTCATATATCACGTGTCTCACTTAGTGTGATATATGACTATGCAACCTTGGTTGAAGATTCGAGATATGTGGTCCGATGATCCCTATCCGAGTGGGTTGTTTATCAGGAAACTGAAATAACAAATTGTCCTATGTTGCCATGGTGTGTCCCTAGGAAAGAAATTGTTTTGGACCTCCCTCATGGTGTTACGGGAGAAGGTCATTAACTCCGTATGAACACTTGCCTAAAGATCACTATATTTTAGAAAAGTAATTAATAAAAAGTTAATACTTTTTCTCGGAATTACAGATTTTCAACGAAAGTTCGTACAATAACCGATTATTATTAATTTAAAATTAAGGGATTCATTATTACGTTATCAATATCTTGCTTTCTTTAAAACCCGCAGGATACGTTCACGATATTGATGCAATGAAGTGTGGAGAAATCTGCTGGAATCTCGGAGCAGGCAGATCTAAATCCGGCGACAAGCTGAAAATGGGAGTAGGTTTAGAGCTTCAGGTCTGCTATGGTGACGAGATCAGAAGTCTTCTGAAGCATCTCATTTCTGAGGCCTAAATCTTCTTCTCTAATTCTGCTGTCAGGGTCCATGTTTCACAACTATACAGGAAAACTGAGTGGACAAGGGAATACCTGAGTCTTATCTTTGAGCTGAGCTTGATTGCCTTTTCCTTCCAGATGATGTTCAACTCGTTTTTCCGTTTAATTCCGTACTTTAAAAACCATCACTTCTTGTGATTTTATCATATCAAACAATTTTCAATATATTGAACTTAACACCAGGAAACATTCTTTTTCTTTGCGTGTGGTCAAAATATGGAACAATCTTCCGGAGTATATTATATCGGCACCAACAGTTAACTCTTTCAAAAATAGATTAGATGAACACTGGGCAAATCAAGAACTGGTATATAATTATAAAGCAGAAATTCTGTAGTTTCTGGATCTGACGTCTCAAATGACAATAATTATAAACATTATCATTGTATCACTGAGACCGGTTTAGAGGATCGTAACGATCTTGCACTGGTAATAAACTAAACTAAACTAATATATTGTGTCTAATTGTAGAACTCTGTATTCCTGCTATGTGCAGTCTGGTTATCCGAAAAAAAAACAAAGCAAAGATTTACTTTGCACAAAAATATGATTTAGATACATAGACTATTAGTCATGATGAGTTAATATTCCAGTTATGTCTGACGCTGGTGTAAATATAGAACAGAATCAATTCTCCAATTCTGCTGTACATGTTGCCATGGCATCTTTCATTCCCAAGGACTAATTAAAGTCTAAATTTACTCCTGAAGACCCAAGTTCTTTTTGAAACTGGCGCTGTGCACGATTTAGTTCATTCTGAAGACTACGATTTTTTTTCTTTTGTTGGCAGATCTTCCCAATTAGTTCATCTTTTGACATAAAACAATGTTTGAAAATTTAAAAGCATAATTTGGTTGTGCATCACCCTCATTTTTCCTTCTTTTGGCCTCCTGTCTTAGTTTCCTGTTACATAGTATCCTTCTTAAATGGGAGCAGAAGGTAAATCTTGCCCCATTGATTAAAAGTTCACACTCCACACTCCTAATTGTAGAATTGTAGGTGGTATCCCCCTTAAAAACACCGAAGTCACCCTCCCTGTAGCCAACATATTTTCCAGATGAATGTACATTTGACTGTATAGCACTTCCATCTGGTATCATATCCTGGTATTCTTCATCACAGTTGCCGAGACACACACTCCATGAACTAAGTTTGCACAGTAATGCATCAACACTTGATAAGGTATCAAAAGTAGTTGGTAACCCTATCCAGAAGTCATGTGTGGAGGACAGTTGTATTTGGTAAACAACAATTTTAGCATGATAACTTTTGTCAATGATAACACTTAGTTTCACAGAAGTTTCAGCACTTGCCGGATCATCATAATTTTTTCCTCTAAACAGACAATATTATGTAATTAACAAGATTATCTACGAAATGTGGTGAAAAATTGTGTTTCGTTGAGTTTTTAGAGCAACCAGTAGCACCTGTGTACTTGGCCAGATTGGTCATTTAATACACACAACGTAAACAAACTGAACCGCGTTGATAAATGTTAAGGACATACGTTTACCATATATTTATGCAGGCCATCCTTTCTCTTATATACGTATTACACATTAGACAATTGTAAAACAGAACGTTTTTCGGATTTTCTTTGAGTACTTAGATCCTAAATAAGGTAATATATGTGTATCTCATATGTGTATTTATTATAATTTTCCTTACTTATAATTATACTTGAGAATTATATGTAATACCTATCTATATCTACATACAATTCATTTCATAGAAAATAAATGCATTTGTGTACGATGTTATTTATTATTTAATTAACTATGTAATATCCGCATTTTCAGAATTCCAGAAGAAAGAACAATGTACTAAATTATGTTTGGCTGTAGTATAGATCCATGAATAACATCCTACATAGATAACAGCCTTTTGTCCAGAGACTGGTCAGTCACAGTATCGAGTTACAACGTTCACGTGTACGCTGGACATTTAGGTTGTGTCCCTTTGGTCTATCACCCGCCATAAGGACTAAGACCACAATTAATTTCACTATATGTTTCATTGTAACATTAAAATTCATAACAAAGTCCCAAAGTTTCATCTGCAAATTTCCATTTCACCTGGCCAAGATCAACATCTGAGAAGCAAAATATAAAAGTTTCAACCCACCATGTTGGGCATTTTCTGGAGATATACCTCCATGTGTGTCACCAACGTCAATTATATACATCCGGGTCAGGGGTAAAGGTGAAAACAGGACTTTTTAACCGGATCCTGCAGCACAAAATACATGTTCAATATGAATGATTTACACCCTGACAGTTAGATTATCATCTCTATAACACATCTACATCAAATTTATAGGCAAAAATCTAATTCAAAGAGGCATATCATTTTTTTCCCTAACATACATACATTTTTAGGGACTTCATTCGTGGGTACTGAACCCGGAAGTATTTAATTGTGGTCTTAGTCCATAAGTGCACGAGGTCAGCATGCCATCCAATGGAGGGACTGGCTTGACCAATCAGATTCACATCCGGTTTCCAATGGACCAATCTTGATTCACGCGCTCCTTAGTAAGGATTTTAGCCGCGTCTAGTTATCTTTACTCAGGATAATTTGGCTCCTGTTCGCCATGCTTTCATATCTCCAGTATTTTATCAATTTTTGGACCTTGTTTAACGAGAAAAATATCTTGATTCGCATTATGTTGTAATTATGTTGAATAATGAAACTAAACAGATGTTCCGTTGTTAAACGACTACTAGTACTCCTTGATGGGCCAACAACTTGAAATCTACAAAAAAAACCAAGAACAGAGATAGGAGCATCTAAACCAGCCAAATTAGCATGTATACTGATGGTATAAAAATACGATACCGACCGGCATTTCGTACCCTAAATGTTCCTATCAACATATTCCAGCAGGCATCATAATATATGTCTGAATATCATAGACATTCAACTCCTGTACAGACCTCAAAATCTTGACCAGTGACACCAACACTACATCTATAATGAATTTCACATCCATTCTATAGATCTCATAAAATCAGCTCTTAAGTACACAACAGAGCAATGACGAACGATGGAACCACAAAACAACAATAAGTAGTTAAAAGCAAGTTATGAACTTTGCATAATTGTCGTTAAATGATTAGCCTTTTCCAGTTATGAACACATTGCTTTTAACACTTTAATTGGTGTAGTATTCCAAATATCTTAGCATGCGAAGACTGATATATATAATTTATGAAAGAGGAGTGTGCTTAATCGTCTTGTCATAGCCTATGTCGATACAGATAGCTGAAGCTCCACAATAAACTTGATGAAATTATTTTTTATTTTAGTTTCATCATTTTATATCATTACAAAGAAACATGTAATAGTATTATCAGAAAAAAGTAGTTTTTTTCATAATGATGACTACGACAATAGGAAGTGCGAGAGCAAATGCATTTCGAGAAATAAACAAATGTTCTCTTCACTAAGCTGACTCACGTGTTTCAAACAATGGAATACGATCACGGTCTCAAATTATGTTTTTCTAGTTATATTTCTATATGACATATAAACAAATAACCTAAAGTGCCTGCTTAGTGTTGTCAATGTCACACCATAAGATAAAATAACAAACGAATCAGTTAATGAGTTTTTTTTATGACCAGTATGAGTACCTTTCAATACGACCTTAAAACACCTCAACTTATAACTATCTATTTTTAATGTTGGTGATTTTCCTGTTTTAAAAGGCACTTTATGTTAGTATACTGTTAGTTTTCGCATTGTGTCTATATTCTTGTACATAACATACCAAGCATTACAAATCAAGAGAATATATTAGAACGACACAATCTACTGTTATCTGTCGATTCATAACACCCAGATAGCACTTGTTGACGGGAGTCGTTCACCTGTAATTAACCGAATACACGACTTTTCTGTATTTTAATACCCGCGGAAAGTTGATACTGATATGCTTGTGTATCCCGTCAGATCTCACTACATAGGTCGATTGGACAGGGAAGGTAGACATTCCTTTGAAGATTAAATCAAAGTAAATTGATCGGGAAAACTTCATTAATAACGTTAGACTCGCATATTTTGTTTGTTCACCTGCAAAGTTGGCACGACATATCACACAGGTGAGATACACCTGACCTCGTCCGTGGGGCGTCAATCAGGAAGGCGGGGTCAGCGCGTGTTGGTATGACTCGAAGGCTTAGTATACGTTAATACATTGTGATCTTTTATCTGAGTGTCATGTATTGATAAAGTCAGCCACTTTTACTTTAATATTGACAAAAAATGCCTCTTAAGTGGTGCCCTGCACTGAGGACTGGGCCACACAGGTGCTCGCTTCGTCTGTCTGTTAATACACACATTTCTTTAATCAAGGTAAACAACTCCATCGGCCTTGCGCGGTATACTTGTGATTTTTACTAAGCTGTAACGGAAATCTCACGGAGAACGGTCTGATTCGACATAGATGTATTTATTTCTTTCAATCTGCATTCACTTTCAGGATTTTACTGTAGTTATCACGCCTTTATATACGATAAAACTTCAGAGTAATTTAGACTCAGTATGGCAATTACATATTAGATATTACGTATGAATATAGATATTTGTCATCATGTAGGTATCATAGGAAAACACAAGGAAAGACACTAGTTTGCATTCACCCGAGATTTATGAACGACTCTCCAGCCAGGTAAAGTGAAAATACGTAACGAGTTTTATAAATCTGAAATGGAAAGGAAGTAAGATTATATTTATTGTAATAGTTTCGCAAATAATCTTCCATTTCACTTATAAAGAATCTTACGACATCTCCTCTTTCTATCCCTTTCTAAGGTGACGTAAAATGCATAAGGCGCCATTTAATTATGACGTTACAATGAAATTCGTGGAATATTAAGCCAATAACAATCTCGCAGGATTAAATCACGTGCGTTATAACCCGCGTTTATGTTATAGATGTTATCACACATATAACAGGGCAGTTATGTGATAAAACAAATTAGAAAGAAGTCGGTTTTGATCGGGATAACATGCAAAGGACATTTATGTTTAGAATAACCGGTTATAGTGTCCATAGTTATCTGACTACAAGGCACCTGTCCGACATCTGTGTAATAATATAATTAGTGTAATATAAACTCATTAATGGTCCCCTTTTTCATGCCACCAATTCTAAACTCGTTTTTCCCTTCATAGGAGTGATTGATTGTGAACTCTAGGTAGCTATAAAATGTGTTTGATACGTGAAATCCTCAAAACAACGGACGTCGTACGTTAGATCTCGCCATGAACATATTAGCGCCCTTCCATTCTTTAACGCTGTCTGGCGTGGATCTCCCCAACTCTTTGGCAATCCATGAATTAGTATAATAATAGCAACATTTACTAAAGACAAAATTGTCATTGAAAGTTCCGTCGATGGTCAAACATCTTCTGGTAGTTAAAAGTGTCAAATGTGTATTTGCAAACCAGTATACAACATTCAAACCTTGTCAATGTTATTTGCTTTAATCAAACAATTCTATATCAAACATATTCCTTTGCAGTGTTTTAATGAAGCCATAGAACATTTGTACTGTCAGAAATATATTGTACATTACATATCATTACAATACTACTATAGTCAGTACTTATATGTCGGTTAAGAAGGGTATTATCCTTGAATATCAGGCATTAATATAATTTTTATGAATGACTGTTTAATTTATCGGGCTAAAACGAGTTTTATCAAACATTATTTGACCTTATTTCTTACATAAAAGCATTCAGTTGAATGGTGTATGAATATCAATTGGTTGTTGTAAATAGTTTCAGTTTTCGTGACGTACCCTATAGAAATGTCAACGTCATATTGGCACATGGCACGACACATTTACCACACAATGTTCTGTTCATCGCTTATTTTAAAAGTGTGTTTAATCCTTAAATGTCGGTTATCATGCTATTTCCGGCCGTCATGTCCGATCCCCTGTATTCCCCTGTTATGCATAGGATTCGTGTTCCTTTGTTCTGCTATGTATTTCGCTTCTTCATCATCCAGAAGAAAGCAGTGTAAAGTAGACATAATGGAGTGAAAATCTAGTCACAAAAATCTTTTCGTTTAAAACACATAACGCTGTAGTCCCATTGTTGGTTTATATAAAGACACTGTCAATATAGTAAGTGCTCTGTCTACGTTAATGAGTAAAATAACACATATGTATATCAAATCAAATATTTCAACCAGTACATATATCTGGTTTAGCACGTGCCGCGTGTCTACACCCTAAGACTTGGACAAGGAAGTTCTATACAGACAAAATAATAGATATCGCTGTCTTGGATAGAAGATGATTCCATTTCTTGAGAAACAGAAAAAAAGTTGTGAAAAGTGTCCAAATACTAATATATAATGAAGAATAATGAACAGCATACAAAGTTCAAGAATTCCCTTAATTAACCTTTCTCATATAACTTTATACCTTACGCTCATTATCTTGTATGTAGTGATTACCTGAATTGTAGGAAGAAATATATAATGATAGGATATATTCGCATTATTCTCGTCCGACTAGATTAAAAAGTAGCTCCCAACGAAATAAAACCTATTCTCGATAGAAATTAATACATCAGATGATAATGTATTGCATTATGGTACCTCCGATCTTGTTTCAATAAAACTGAACTGCATCTGGTGTTAAGATCTACACAAAGGTCATCTTGTACGTAAGATAAAGGACAACAAAGGTTACCAAGGTTATTGAGATTAAATCATAATTTTTACTTTAATGAAAAGGTAGCAATGGAATTTCTGAAATACAACAACAACAATATGAATTAACAACTAACATATCCGACGTTTTACGTCAGTGTAAACAAATCACATTCTCTTCGTCAAAATATCGATAAAACCCAACTCTTTTGCCCTTGTTCTGTGACTGTACGTCAACCTTAGGTTCAGGAGGCGTTTCCTATATGCTCTCGCTCCCTGTATGATTAGAGGGCAATCCTGTTTGTACTACATTAAACGTGTTTCAAGGATCGCTATCCATTTCATAGCAGTTTGATGAGTGTTTATTATTCAATAGCACACGACGCAACATTATAAATCATACAAAATAAAGGAAGAAGAGTTCCACATGTCCCCTATATCCTATCGCTGCATGGTTTCTGTTCGGTTTTTCACGTCTAAGTTTTTTTCGGATTTCTGATAAGAGAGGATGAAGAATATGATTTATATTTAACAACACAATTTGACATCAACGTCATGACGTCAGCTTAGGACTTGCAATATCAACTGATGTCCTTCTTCTGTCCAATTCATTGTCCTTCTTGCCAAACATGGCTCCTAGTTTTCGTGAAACAGTTACGAGCGAGCTTCGTCGCCGTTTTAACAGAGGTTTGTTCTGTTGTACAATTTTTGTCTCCCGCAATAATGCCTGAAACGCGATACTAATAGTAATGTTGGTCTCAGCTGCTGACACTTCATAGTAATGACAATTAAATTCAAGCGCCATCTGGTGGCCTTCGTCGACACCTACTTCCCGCCGATGTTCTAAATCTGTTTTGTTGCCGATGAGTAACGTAGGAACATACGATGATGACCGCTGTTTGCTGACCGTTTCCAGAAGCAGCTTTGCGCTTTCAAAAGAGCACTTATCACATATACTGTACACAATAACGAAAGCATCAGCCCACGTGACTTGGCCATCTGCTGGAAGTGTAGTACTGTCCTGGAAAAGGAAAATACAGAAACATGATATTCTTTTCGGTTCACCTTGCAGAATTTTGTTTTAGAGGATCATTTGAAGCTGAAACATGACACTGTCAATACTGTCAATAGTTCAAAACTGTCAATGTCAATAGTTCTCTATACAGATTTGTCTCAAATAAACAAAGCATCCTTCTATGGAACAAGCGCACCAATAGAAAAGATTTTGGATATTGATAGGATAACTACGCCAGGACGGTATGATCCGCACCCCCTAACCCATCCTTCAACCCCCCCCCCCATCCCCATCCCAACAACCCCAAACTACACCGCATCCCCCACGGCCACAACCCCATCCACCTCTAGCGGCATTTGCATTTGCGGAGCGATCTCCTGGTTCACATTCAAATACAGGATCTGGTCGTGATTTTTACGTCAAGTAACAACGCGTACATAACATCAATATTTAATCAGGTGAACAGCTGTAAGTTGCATTATTTAAAGTAACGTTAGATGTTTGGTCACTTTGAACTAGCAAATTTGTCTTGGAGAGGACAAGTGTCCCAAGCTGATGACAATGATATTTCAAACTAGAGCATCATAAACCAGTCAATATTGTTGAACATCGAAGCAACAATAAGATTCCATTCACTTGCTATTTGTGAAGTTTTCATGACAATCTCGCAGAAATAGTTTAACAACGAATCGTTCTAAATTCCTTTAGTAGCCGTTCTTTACTTAAAGCTTTATTGGTTGTTGTTGTTTAATGTGAAAACATCGACAATACTTATAAGTGCAATTTTCAATCACGTGGTTATGAAGGAAATTTCGATACAGACATTCCTATAAAAAGACATTACATTGACCATCGCCATTACTCTTGTTCTTCCTAATAAAGTGCCATTTCGAAGAAGAAAAAAACAGTAAGTATAGATAACCTTTGGAACTTCAACTGTTCAAAAATTATACAACACATAGGTTTCGTATAATCTCGGAAGAAACATTCTATTTCTCGTGCAGGGAAATGGTGGGGTTTTTTTTATTATTCCTATGCATTCTACATGTATCTATAACATTTTGATGGTATCTCGATATTACTAGATTTGTTTATTTGTACCACTTACTCTCTCGGATTAAAAAAAAAGTACGAGTTGTATCTCGGTAATGTTATCGGGTCAATCTCAGTCAGTGAAATGTACGTTGTTTAGATAATCGATTAATTACGAAATGCTATTTTGCCAGGATAACATAACTTTTAAAAGTAGCCTTTCATACCAAAATGTGGTTACTTAACAAAAAATTCGTGTTGTCTCTAGTAAAAGATTTGATCATCAGGTAAGATCACGTTCAAAACAAAATATTTGTAAATTGACTTTAAATATTAACGCAAGAAGTACGGGAAAATACCTGTCGGTGCTGTAAGTCCTCAGTTTAAATAGAACATGTAAAAGCACATTTTGGAACGAATTTCAGCGCAAGCTTACATAAATAACTTTTATGTGATTGATTTTTTTAAAATTAACTTCCAATTTACTTGTGATCATTATAAATTAGTTTTGCAATATTTGAACATCAATCACGAACACCAGAAGCGAAAGCGTAAACAATATACGGTGGTTTAAAAGATTAAATCTTTCGTTTATCATCTGGTTTATCAAGTAACAAGTTTTATTGCGCACAAGTCAAATTTACATAGGAACCTAATTAGAAGTGGTATTCGTGTTGTTGACCTAGCCAAGAATACACGATTTCCTGTGATGTTTATCATCTGACCGGTAAACATGGACAATGACATTGGGTTCCCCGATCACTTTATTCATCTAGATTTCTTCTCATTAAACATGACCTACCTTTATGTTGACGAAATATATTTACCTTACTGTAGCAATATGTCAGATATGTCCAAATATTGTAAGCTAATTATATTCTCTCACATGAACGTATCTACTGTATGACAATCTGTACCTCATATAGTTCTAGGTAAATTAAGAAATATTTCATCTTTAAGCTATAGATGTTTGTCCCAAAACAATCATAACATGATGTAAATATCAACATAATATAAACTTATTAATTTTACAATAATTGAGAGAAACGTTATTCAACTTATACCTACGTTGTCGGGCATGTGACCCCTTACGTTCTCATTTCCTTTCCGGGAATCGAACTCTGGAAGGCTAGGTGCAAGGAGAGTATGTTATCACTGCGCTAGGCGACCACACCATAACACGAAAAGACGGAACAGGGTAGTTGCCTTAGTTGTTAAACTAGGCAACGTGATGTCAACAATACCACGATAGAGGTTAGATAAGGGCATCATTCATTTTTTAATCATAAGCTTTCAAACACTGATGCGCATTGTATCATTAAGTCTAAACTCAGTATACCGCATTGTCACGTGGCTGTTATTTTACATTACTATATGTCTATACTCGAACAAAATTAAATTGCTATGATAACATCTAAGAAGCAAATGCTGGTAAACAGAAACCAAACCCACATTTAATAAAACGGCGATAAAATATAAGCATTTACAAGGAGGCTCCTGAAATGTCCCAGACGAATAAGACCATGTGTTCCGGAAGACTAGCGTCTTACTATTGAGAAACTGCACGTTGTTTTTTTTTACTGTATTCCACCCTATTGTTATTCTGGAATGTTTTGTTGGTAACACTTTAATTCTAGTGACACCTATCGCTTACCTTTTTTGTACATGTGTCCAGGATTTCTATATCTGTCATATAGTCTTCTTGTTTTATACTGGATTTGTATAGAAGATCTACAACAGAAAATGGAAGACATGAGGTATCAATCACCTCCAGTACAAAGCATGCCACACAGGTGTGCATGCCATATTACAAGTTAATATCGCCATTGGTATCCAAAGAAAATTTCCTGTCATTTGATATATTTATGTTTTCAAGAGAAGTAACTAAAATTTTTGTAATATGACTTTTTCTCATTTATGATTCGTCAATTCAATACCTGCCATGTCACATCGTAAAAAAAAAACAATGGTGGAAACAAATGTTATATGATATATTATATACGCACTCCATCCATTCTACGAACATTGCATTGATTATTAAATAATGTAAAAAAATATGTATCACTGTATGTACAGGAAAGGAATTATTGTGTTCATAGATGTGTTAAGGAAGGTTAATTTTATTTGGATTATTTTGAGTATAAGATTATCTAATACCTGTTCATTAATATGATAAGATGTTCTCTCTATTGCCTAACAATTAATAATTCTGCTAATTCTTAAATAATTATGCTTTTATCTGAGAATAAACTGTAAAAATAGAATGATCAAATAGAACCTAAATTTGTTTTTCAACCCCTTTGAGATATCAAATGCAAACAGCCCTTAAACATGGCCAGGTAAACCAACACACACCAAGTTAACCCCTTAAAAGGGATTAATCAATGAACATTGAAAACCCAATTCCACACCAAAATACAAGTCGCGCGCGCGCGCGCGCGCGCGCGCGCGCGCGCGCGCGCGCGCGCGCGCGCGCGCGCGCGCGCGCGCGCGCGCGCGCGCGCGCGCGCGCGCGCGCGCGCGCGCGCGCCCGCGCGCGCGCGCTAGGTGACTAAAGCACCTTTGTACTTTTATTCCTTATCAAAAGTACAATTTTGTCATTATAAAGACTGATTACGTACTTGGGTGCCGTACTGATATTAACAGTACACAACTTCAGGCAATCCTACCACTTGAGATTTTTGTTTTTTCTTTGATGTTTAAACAGATGTGCTGAACACATTTTTGCTGGCCATTAACCTAATGAGTACCTGTATCATGTAACTATATCATGAACTTGACCCGTGATCCAAACACTATGGTATTTGTATATCTGCTTAGCACAAACCAAACGTGCTGTTCGATTTTATACTCGTGATAATCCAAGTTGTCATTTAACTTTTAGGGTTTAACTGAGACGTCAACACAAAATAGATTTTCTGCTTCACTACCTTTTAGAACAATCGGGTAAAGATATTTTGTCTTTCATTTCTTACTACATTGTGAATGCCCCACTCATAGACTGTTCATTGTACCATATGGATATATAAATTATTATGTTTGGTTATCAAAACACAAATAGTATTTGAAATAAATACTACATATCTTATCAATATGCTCATTATACGTAATTGTACGTTCTACCATTTCAATACATTTTACCATATATCTATATATATATACAATTTACCAGATATTCACCATATTTTGTTGGATATATATGATTTCACAACATATATAGTTCTGTATATATTTGATCATGTGTATCATCATGTTAACGCCAAATTATATGTACATAGAATTATCATTTTAGGTTTAAACTGCAATGCTTCTAATTTCAAGACTTCCCGTGAACGACGGAAATATAAAGTCTATTTAGGATTGGATAATATTACGATCATGTGATTTCTTTCTCATATTCTGAAAACTGCATATCTACTTGATTATGTTTTGTTCTGTTGCCGGTGACAACATGAAAATTCCTCTTTTTTTATCAGCACGATAATATCGATTTCATTTACGAATTTTTTGTTATATTATTAATTTAATAAAAAAAATTTGACCATTGTACAGATGTCTGTAATAAATACTTGGATCTATTAGGATTCTTTTATCTTATGACACCTCTTGTCTACGGTTGATATGCATTTGTAGATATTATTTTATAATAATAATGTTACACATTTTCGCACATCAGTTTCGTGATGTGACAGTATTAATTACAAACTGGAGAAATTTAAAAAAAAGAGCAGATATATTTCTGAAAGTGAATCGTATTTTTTGATATTACAATACAACTGTCATTAGTTTCGTGTGAGGAAGTTGATCCATGACTGGGCATCAACATTTTACACCTGCATGGAAATAACTCATGTTCTCACGAATGAAAAAACACGACTCAATGACATGAGTAGGTCACAATGCGGATGAATACAAAAAGTAATTTAAAGATGTTTTTGGAAGCAATACCTACGAAATGTGTTGGGTTTGTTTTCTTTACAACCAAAGAATGAACACCATGTATGCTATGTTAATCTATCAAGAAGTTCTCGTCTATACCGTTGAAAACTGAAATTTACAACATCTAGTGTACGTTCTTTTCCAATGCATATAATTATGAGAAATTATTCAGTTCTTATTCTAAGGAAAGGCAATATATCGATATCCCGCTCGGTAGTGTTCAGACACCGTCTATCCGTATCACAGCTGGAAACAAATTCCACAGCAGTTATAGTACTAAATCCATCCCCTATCCATGTCAACCTAGCCTGGACAGATATCAATAATACAGAATTTTAAAACTTTTGTTATTTTTTTAAAAATTATAATTAGCAATACAATGACAAAATCGTCGTTAACTTGTAATTGTATTTACTTATATATATGGCGCTATCTTATTTCACTGGCTCATTTCGCTTTTGCTTCATTTCATATCGACATTTTATATTTTTTTCAAATATATAATTCTATTAATAGAATAAACAAAGTACATTTGACAAATTATAACAAAGATTATTCAATGATCATTTATTTATAGATTACTGGTGTTAAATAAGAAATCAATATAAATTGACCAATCTTGATTTTCATATTCTCGTCACTTAGCATTACATTATTCAAATTTATCTCAAGCTAACAAGGACTAAAGTAGAGCGATGTTCTATCAAGAAGTTAAAATGCCCGGAATCACGAGTTAAGGACCCCTGCTCTGTAGTTAATACCGTGGCATTGTGTTCACTTACCTATGTTAGAGTTGTATTCACCGATGAATCTTCGAGTTAAAAATCTCACGGTCACCGCTAAAATTGAAATAGAGAACAGTCAAATATGATGTTACTATTCATGAGAATAATATAGGCTAATGTTATTGTGATAGGCTTTAATCTTGCCCTCTCAGCGACAGACAATTTATATTATATGAATGTACCTGTTATATATGCAGGTCATATCATAAGAATAAGTTAATAAGAATTGGGGGGGGGGGAATATTTAAATTTCAGATTGATATCAGTTTATGAGTATTCATAGAATTGCTGCAATCTTTAAGACGTTCATGACGTTGCAAAACTAGAACTCTTTTCATTGGAATTTATTCTCCTCAAAATATCAAAATACATGAAAGATAATTACCACTCAGTGTGGGATGTTCACGGGGCTTAGGTTAGATGACAGAAGATGTCACTTTATAAGTCATACATTCATTGTTGAGTAAATATTATTTCTGTTTGACCTTGGAGTAAAGATAAAAAACAGAAACTAATATTTTTGTTGGGTGGGACTGTAGAAAATCGCTATATTGACTACATAAATAGCTTCAGGTTTCGTAAGCCTGTAATTAGCTAACAAGGTCCGACCCTTTAAATGTGGGCCCAGGTACCTGTTTTTTTGGTTTTTTTTCACCCGTGATCGGGCTGTCTATGATATACCTCGGGCTGGTTTTTTACGTACAGCGACATTTGAATGCAACACTTACATTTACACATTTCGTGTAAATAACATGTATAGGACGCAGATGTCGGTCGAAATATCAACAGATAATTAAACAACAGATGCCATACCTGGTAAATATACACTGTTCTGGTAGATACATGTGTGATCCGGGTATGTAGTCCGATTTAGATAGAACGCTCCGAATTGTTACATTATACGTATTAGATATAAAACAGAATATTTGTTTGTGTGTGAATTTTTAAGCAGAATTGGTATACTTCGGTACATTTTCAGGATTGAACGTATTCATAAGTCTGTATTTGCTTCTATGAATACATTTCTGTTGATTAAAAATGGCTTGTAGGATTTCATCCTCCTAGCTTGTACAAAAGACACCTATTTACATAACTTAGAAACAGTATCGTAAGATAATGAATTAAACTGCGTCATACAGCTGTTTCGCCCTTTTAGAACTTGTCAGTCGAGAGTTATGTCAAGGGCCTAACATTTTAAACTTAGAAGGTGATTGAGGTAAACCCAAAGTGAAAATCGAGGCATATGTCAAAATGTATATAGATAGGTGTTCTAGTCTTCGATAATATCGTAATTTTCACATACCAGGAAATTTCAAAATTTAAAATACATATGTATATTCTGAACCATGCCACTATTCGAATGAATTAAAACGTGGTATACAGGTTATGGCAAACTTGTGGACTACAAGTCTACAAGCTGTATCTACCATCGATAATAGATAATAGATCGATAATAAGATTGTACGAACGTCACACAGTTGAACAGCACGTTTCAATACAAATGTAAAGTAAGAATTAACAAAATATAATTTTTTAAAACTATATTCGATCCTATGGTAATAATTAAATTGATTATGTTTTTAAAGTGATTGGAAATATTAACCATAAAAACCTGTTTGTTGGTTTTCATATTCCTGGGAACGATATGGATGGTACATGTTCGCCAGGTTAGGTTGAATCATGCCATTTAGAAGGTGCTACATTCCTTTCGCGTCCCCTCTTTTAAATCATTGATATAAAAACAGGTGTCAAAGCATATCATATTGTTGCTAAGATTACAAGATTCTAACTCTGTGAAGTGAGTTCTATAGTGAGACTGTCCGATCTTAGATTCTGTTGAAATCATGCGATGAAAGTCGTCTATCGACACTGCATAAAAAGCAAATCGTGGTATTTTAATGTTCTGCATTATTAGATAAAATGTAATTTTCCGCATATCTTATTTTTTTTACATCAGTTTAAATATAGGATTGGATATCACCCAACACGCCAACCCAAGCTGTTAAATCGTAAACCACAATGTAAACGTTATACTAAATAATACAACTATGGTTTTACATTGAAATTGAAAGGAACAATGGTGTTTGTTACACTTAGATAGTGATACAATTTCATCAAGTATGCCGGATAGTTGGTGTCAATTTCAACACACCTGAAACATACATTTTTCAGCTGCCACCTGTGCCTGTCACTCAAAGCCCATCATTCGACAGGCTTTTCAAAGGATTGTAAGTTTAACCAAGTATGTAATTTTAAATGAAATATATATAAACATTTGTTTTTAATCAGATTTTCTTAAAATATTTTTATCATGTGACTTCATTTTCATCTTTCCTTCAAAAATTATTTTAACATGAATTATGCTTATTACAAATTAAACTGATTTACTAGGGGTTTTTTTATTATGAAGCTGAACATACTTAAATGTGATGTAAAATTGACATTTGCACATGATATGAAATCTATCCGTCTACGTTTGATGGATGTTGTTGTTACAGTGGTAACACCATTTTATACCTATGTAGAATATAACCAAGACGGTCATTGTGAACTCCAGAGTTTGAAGTGGATGGTACTGAAAGGCGGAGATGTAGACACACCCTTAACGAATATTTGGTCCACGTTCACCTTGATACGATATATCACAGTCAAACTTATTTCTTTTCAAATTGTTTTATTTTTGTTTTATTTGAAAATAGATATCTTACATTTTTTAACACATACCGCATATTTGATTATTTTTGTGGGATATTATTTTGCTATTTCGAGGGCCGTATACGTAAAGGCAAATATTCCATCTGTGAAAAGGGTGTAAATACTATCCGCAATAATAAAATCTGAGACCCATCGGCACAATTGCTTTCCGACTCGGCTTGGTTTTTTTTTTCAAATATTTTTACAGGTTACAGAATAAATGATTCATGAATAATAGATTTGTATGATTGATAGTTCAGCTATGACTTGACATTAGGAGCATTATTCGGGAAATATTATTCCCTTTGTTGTCCAGGTCGAAAATTGTATTAACCAAAATATTATTATGTCATTTTGCATGAACATAATCTAATTTTGACCCGCTTATAATTGGCTAAACAGTAATTCGTTGACTCCGAAGTACATGGAAACCATATAGCGATACCTATGTTTGAATGGTGTCTCAGCAACCGTCAGATCACCGACCTCACTTTGAATATCTTTAACTTTATTTTGAAAGTCTTTTATTTAAACAAAGAAATTACTGGGCTCTCAGTTCGTGCTCACTTGTGTTTCAAATTCTATTGTATTACATTTGTACCCTTTTCTCTCACGTAGCTGATCTAAAACAGCCAAATATAGATCAATCTATTCAAAACTATACAACATGAGGCACACACTAAGGCTGGCGTTTATTACAAAATGATTGCATAATTAGTTGGAATGAAGGGAAATCCGCGAATGTCCATAGAAAAGGTATTCTGTAAAACATATCCCATTGTACTCTACATAGAAGTCCTGGCCTTTTATGTTGTAACCCTAACTAACAGCCAGGATATCACATTTTGAAGACTGAGTGGTTTAATTTGTTATGTTAAACAGAAGCTAATTTATATCGTATAAATGTCGAACGATTCTGCATATAAAATACATTAGGAATATTTTAAACTCTTAAGTATGCACTGGTTTCTCTTTTCCGCCGATAATAATTCTTCTCTTGGAATGTTCATGAAACTTTTACAACTCGGGCTTTCTTTGTGTTTCAACTGTTGTCGCCAATTACAATAGATTCGATTTGACCTGCTGACGCCCGACTGTATAATGATATTTGGTAATATTATAGGCCCCAGTTTTAATGGTGGTGTTTGAAAACATTATGTACTTATTTATATGATATATTTTTAGCATTTAGACCTTATTCATGTTAACCAATTTGCTTTTTATCTGATGTTATATTTGACAGCCAGTACATCAAGTATCTTCCTGTTTGTACTGAGTTTTCAATGCCATGTACTTATATGCTCTTGTATGTATTGAGTTTTCAGTACCTTGCACATATAGGTTCTTGTAGGTATTGAGTTTTCAGTACCTTGCACATATAGGTCCTTGTATGTATTTAGTTTTCAGTACCTTGCACATATAGGTTCATGTAGGTATTGAGTTTTCAGTACCTTGCACATATAGGTTCTTGTTGGTATTGAGTTTTCAGTACCTTGCACATATAGGTTCTAGATGATATCGAGTTCCCAGTACCATGCACATATAGGTTCTAGATGATATCGAGTTCCCAGTACCATGCACATATAGGTTCTAGATGATATCGAGTTCCCAGTACCATGCACATATAGGTTCTAGATGATATCGAGTTCCCAGTACCATGCACACATGTACATATAAGCTCCTGCCTTTACTAGGTTCCTTGTTTTATCTCATTTAAGTTTAATGCATAGATACGGCCCTTTATGAGCAGTATGTACATATCTATATATTTAGAGAGAGAGAGAGAGAGAGAGAGAGAGAGAGAGAGAGAGAGAGAGAGAGAGAGAGAGAGAGCATCGCTTTCTCGTGTAGAGATACACAATACAAAATAATAATAAAAAAAGTATCACCAGGAAGCAATCTTTGTGTGGGAAATCTTTGGGGTCGATTATTCAGTAAATCTGCTTTTGTTATTAGTAACATATACTATAAATCACTTTCTTTACTTTCAATACTGACCCAAAAAGGACAATAGTCAGTAAATAAACGTATACTACGCAATTGTAAATCTACTAATTTTATTTAGGAAATAATGTCCTTTGATGCAGTTAATAACGATTGAAGGTGATCTTTATCAAATTACATAGCAAACAATGTATATCAACAGAATCAGCTATAGGTCTCTAATCGAGAAGAGGGGTCCAATTTTATAGTAGATGTAGCGTTTTTCTCTGGTTGACTGAATATTAAAACGGATTCTATCTTCTATTTATACAGGGTGGATTCAATGACACGAGATCACCATTTATAAATAATAGTATATGATAAGTATCCTTTATATTTTTATGTCCAATTTTCACATTTTTTATAGTATACTATTACTGAAAATAATTTTATAACTGCTTGAGGAAAGTTAGTTAAACCAACCAGGTCGGGCTCGATTTCGGCTTAATCCCCTACATAAAGAATACTGAGTGTTGACATAGTGTCGCTGAGTCAAAATTATACCATGTGAAAGATGTGACTCTTAGATGATAGTCTCATCTTACATGTAAAACGGATCTGTTAAAGTATGTCTGATGACGTGTAGCATTAACATTGATTCTGAGATAGGATACTTGAAAAGCGTTTTAAAAACTGTCTGATCAAATCAAAAGTATAAAAGGTCGCCTGTTGCTTGTCCATAGAGTGAAGATTGGTATACAGCGGAAATCCATTAGGTTAAGGGTACTTCATCAGTGACACTCTCACACATAATATATTGATTATAGGTGAAAAGTTTACAGGTAGACGGTAATAATATAACTCATGCACGTACAACCGAGGAATTTTGTCTACGAGTATAAAAGGTCTGATTAACTTCCTCAGTACTGACAGAATCATAATGTGATTGAGAAATGTCTTCTGTTGTGATTACTTCGGCATCCAGGCTTTTTATTCATCCACCACTACACTATGAAAGTGATGGGATATTTTTTTGTGTATAATTGTTGTATCATATGACTTGTAAGTAGGAACACAGTCAAATGAAAACCAAATAAACTAAAAAGAAAAGAAATATTATTGAACATAACTTGGATGACCCATGATTGAAAACTTACAACAAAAAGATGAGATAGCGAAATATCATAGTGGTACAACTCAGAAAACTTGAAACACATCAATACGAATCAACTGATATCCTTTCGGCCACTACACACGACCGTGTGAGACAACAGTTACTAACTACTTACTGGCTGACAGGGTGCTTACTTCACGTTAACAATACAAATAGTCGTTACAAGCAGAGTTTGCAAACTTTCGTACAAACCTTTGTATAAATTAAAATATTTCTCATTAATTTTGGCGGAGAAATATCTTGGGTTACCTTTTTAGATCCGGAATATAACACGAATCCGTGTTTAGTTGTGTCTACAGCTAATGTGCTACATAATAGAGATGAATGTAGATAATGGCTTGTACCTTCAGTTCAATAATAACACATTGATAGTTTGTTCACTCATTCATTCAATCATTCATTTATTCTTTCATCGTTTCTTATTTCACTGTTTCGATGAAACAAACAATGCCGATAAACCCATATCAAAGTAAACTTTATTGGAATTGAATTAGTAGTTGAAATAATTAGTTGATAACATATACTCAAAGTAAGGAACATCAATATGTATAATAATATTGGGATGATAGATATAAATCTACTTACCTGATTTTCCTACTTTTTCGGCTCCAAGTACCACGACTCTGAGGCTTGACATGTTCAGCTTCATTGGTGCCCGTGATAACAAGAAATACAGTATGTTTAATTATTCTAAAGAGTGGTCATTGTCTTTATCCTGATTGGGTTTCAAATTATCTTCCAGGTTCACAAAGATAATTACGGACTGATCCAAAGACCATCGAAGTCAGATATACGCGGAATATATTACCAGCCAAAGTCTGTGGTTTCAAAACCTGGCACTGTAAGCATAATCACCACGCATCTCACACAGAACAGGTCTAAACAATGTTTGGTTTGAAATTAGGAATCATTTCGACATCATTTTTCGTGAAGCACATAGATTTACTATGACGCGACTGGTGTGTGTCCCCGACTGTGGTTCGCGGTGTTATAAGATTAGGTCCACCTGACACACAGGTAAAATGTCAACATAGGACCCACGTGATCCCAGGTGTATAATACAGGTACGTGTGATATCCAAGGTGTATCTATATAACTCTTCCCCAATGTAATGACACTTTTATACGACCATACCTAAATTGACTCTATAAGGCTTCAGAACTAGCACGTCATATATAACAACTAATTCCATTTGATTTTCTTGATATTTTGAAAAAAGATCATACCTTGTTTCATGAGGGAATTTTGGCTTTCATGTTATTGATAAGAAATTCTTAAAATGATATACACACTAGCTCTAACGTTTACCTGCCGGACATTTTACTGTTATCTGTGAGTATTACCAGGTGTAGCGTTACGTAAAGTCTGTTGGTTTAAGATCAACCTTAAGCCGTGGTATAGTGGGCTGATAGTTGTTTCCTGAAGTGATAGTTAAGAAAGTAACAGTTATTCAATGCGTTAATAGTTAACTGTTATTATAGATATTGGTTTTATTGTCGATATGCATACTATATAATTTGTGTAATAATATATTTATATACCTGGTTTAACACCTACAGAACAATATACAACCTTGTGTTTATTAAATCTGCCAATGGTGACATAACCACAGTCATGACAGAATACATCTCGTTCTGGGCCCCAGTTCTACGATATTGATAAACGATGTATGAAAACTAAATATATGAATATATACTGTGGCTTAAAACTTATAATTAGATATCTCCACAATACGTCTTTAGTTCATATCACTTTGGAATAGTTTGCCTTGTAATTAAAATGTTTACAATAGTTTTGTGTACTGGTACCTAGGAAGGTATGCATGTCGATTTGATTTTAGGTCCATGTAAATCTTGATATACAGTGACAATGACAGGTGTGCGAATTAAGGAATGTCCTATCGATCACATTCAATTCTATCAGGTAATTGAACAGGCAATCAGGCATACCTGTGCACAGGTGTATCTCGCATACTACACATTCTTTTATTCTTCGTGTACAGTATGTCTACCTGGAAAGGCGAAAGGTAACAAGTATCTTTAGTGGTTCAATAGGTACCTTTTACTTAATTCAATGGTTTTAATTTAATATGTCTTATATTTCATATCTTAAGAAAGTTATACTGAAACAAAAAGAAAATGCATGATAATCAATACAGATAATATACCAACATCATCATCACGGAAAATGCAAATGGAAATACAACAGCTTAACATTTACATGAGGTAAAAAGGCCAATGCTTAATTCAATTTCCTTTTTCACTTCATGGCCGATTAACAACGACACCAAACCATAAACATATTTGTGAACCACTAAGCAAACACATTTCCTAACCGCATGTGTAATAGCACTAGAATGATGTCATACATAGTTTTCCTGACGTCGTGTCGTCGTGTCATACAGGAGAATTCCACACTCATGCTACTCATCTAAAAAAGATCGCGAAAGATTAAATTGTTAGACTGTTACAAAAATAAATTCCATTACAATTGTACTCGGCTAAGATATGTGTATGAACATAGGTAACACGCGCCCGCGAAACATCCCTATCCTGTTCTCTAAGAAAGCATATCAAAAGGCCAATTATATGAGGTACAGTGTCATTCTAATCTGGAATTGAACATAACATAAACATATCCTCTAATGTACACTGGTGTCAGTGTCTCGTGTTAAAGTATCCCAGGTCGTCGTGGTTCAGTAATTCGAAGCCATTTGTCATTGATACCGAGTCCACTCTGTAACATCTAAACGTTTTATTGTTGCTCCTGGATTTATTTAAACAAACTTAGAGTCAATATTCTCTTAAATCAGAAAAGTCTTTTCACATTTTTTTTATGTTACAGTATCTGGGTGGTTTTCGAATCTTCATTTTAATAAATAAGTCATTTGATAAGGTGTAGACTCTTGATTGACGTACAAAGAACAATTCGAAAATACCAAGATGTCAACAAATTCCAGACACAAATTCAATAAAGCCAGGGCCAAATATAAACAAATGAAAGGTTTACACAGAGACTCCTGAAAAAGTACAAAGAGAATGAGACTATGTGTTTCGGAGGAATAGGCGTCTTCTGCTTCGTCGACGACACCTGTCATCTAAATTTTGTTCAGTCCGAGTAAGTATAAGTCACGTTATCAAATGAAAATAACGGAACCAACGGGGAAACTAAAGAATCGCTTCTTTTCAGTTTTGTGATGTATTTGAATATTTCATTATGTTACTTAAAAGCATATTTTATTTTGATATAATGTTGCTCAGGGGTCACTCTCACATTCCCTAACTTAAGACTTTCGCCGACAAATAAATTGAGTTATGATAACCCGTTAAAATAAACCCTTTGTTTCATGAAAGAATGTTTTCTCGTAATTTTACAAAATGTAGGTGTACGTCATTGTTGTCGTGTGGATGTCTACTTGTCAATCATTTTTGACAACGTCAATCAAAGCTTTATAAATATCAACATGGTCTGTTATTTATCTGCTAAATATTTTGTTGTAAATGATAAAGGTTTACTGCAATAGTATACTTGAAAGTGCACAGTGTTCTCGGATCTAAATATGACAGTTTTGATTTTGATCGCGTGTTTGTGAGACGGGATATGTCTCTTACGTGAGAGTGTTGTACTGATAAGTATGGTTGTCTTCTGTAGGTGAAAGTTAAAATGCCTCGTCTTAACCATATTGTTTTTCAAACATAGAATTTTACACTGATATGGAACATATCAAGAAAAATGTAGATTCAGATTAAATCTAGCAAAACATATATGTAGGGCGAACCTATCTCAGCTAGAAAGAAGAATATTATAGGTTTCCAAAGCCGTGTAAAATCCTCCGAAAAGTTGTATATATGTATGCTGTAGTATGACCTCATACCCAGCTGATATTTATAATAACATGAATCAGCGAATTCCTCCAACGTTTCAAATCATTTATATTAACAGTTTCATTTTAGTTGGAGAATACGTATGGTAACCAGACGAAGCTTTGAAGGACTAGTCTGGAATCAGTTTAACATGTATGAGCGATATTGAAACTCATTTGACCTCGTAGCAGGACATACAAAGATGATTAATTAGCATGTCTATGCTAGCCTTGTGACGAAGCCTAGTTGAAATTGCAGTTCTGTTTGAAAGACTTTTTCAGTTTTTGGACCCCTGTTGTTTATTATTGATGTCCCGAGATATGTCGAATTCACCTTTAAATGTTAAAATACGTTCAACCTTGAAACACTCACAGAGGGTAAATGGTTAGATCTATATTACCCGTCACTAACTTCTCACCTGTCCACGTGCAATGTTTGTGCCGCCATTATTCGAAAAAAAGAATAAATTGTTTCTCTTCGAATGTTTTTGTATTCTTTTCGGGACCAACACTTTACTCTCAAATGAAAATGGGATTCGCATTACTTCATCTTGTGTCTGATTTAAGAAATATCAATGAAAGTAGTACGTGCATACACGAACCAACAAGTTTTCGTTGTGTATGTGTGCTTCGTTACATTAACAACTCGTGTAGATTGCCAGGATATATAGAAGGGTCAAAAAGGGCAGTTGTGGTATATGTTATTTCTTTAATTTGATAATTTTCAAAGTTCGAGTGTTTTTAAAATTGTTGAAAATAACTATCGAGAGTGGGAGAAATAACATAAATAACAACCTTGGTATCTTGATGTGTTTTGTTGATGCCATCAGTTAAGGCGTTATTTGGTTAATGCTTAATAATATGCAAAACTGACAATTTCAGAAAAACTGTACATGGAACTATTACAATTCATTACAAGTCATAACTAGAAATAAGTAGGTTTCTTTATCTTCAAAGCAAATCGGAACAGAAATTCAAATAAGAATCAATTTATTTTTCAGATATCGTGAACTACTTATTGTTCATTCTTATTTCCGTAAGTGAGTGAAGTGCCCTGTAGGTTAAAGTTTACCCTGTCGGCAAATCAAATATGTGTTTTGGCTAAAAGGCATATTTCTGTTTTAAAGGTGCTATTCGCTTGTGAGACTTTCGAACAATCCTTCATCGTGTATGGTCTCTAGCAGTATCTTGCGCCTCTGAGTTCAGCATTCTTACCTCCCGATGTCGTGCTGCGTCATTGAGTTCAGATTTGCGTGTTATAGTACCTTTTGTTTTATCTACTTCACACATTTTAAGACTAGAAATCAGCTGAAATCATAGATCACTGCAACAACTTCCCAAAAACATAGATTTTCCACTTCATTATGACAGTAGTGTTATATCAAAGGTACTGTAGATTATGTGATAGTGGTCAGGAATCTCGTGTTGTAGTAAATTCCACGGCTATCTATGGCTATACACCCTTTCAACTTTGTCGAAAATGTGAAATTCATCTTGCACTTTGTAGAAGGTCACGGTAAAAATATCCCAAGTTGACCTTGTTGATTATCTATCTATATTATACTTTTCGTCCTGGCGAGACCTCACTCTACTATACTTACAAGGCCGAGTGATTTGATGTCTTGGTAACAAAGGATATTATAATGACTGTGATATACAATATACACAACAGAGTCGTTAGAAGACGAGTTTAACATTCTGCTGTATCATCCTACGTACGATATCACTAATGTAAAAACTACCATAACGTAAACAACACCATATATCGCCAGTTATTTATGTTAATT